GGATGGTCTCGATCTCTTGACCTCGTGATCCACCCGCCTCGGCCTCCCAAAGTGCTGGGATTACAGGCTTGAGCCACCGCGCCCGGCTTGGAATTTTCTTTATTATATGCGGCTTTGGGTATACTCAGGATGGAAAGCACCAGGACAAATACTGTTGAATATGAACTTGACAGCATACCAGAAATAGAATAAATATCAATGGATATAAGACCTACTCCTCAAAGGAACTGAGAGACGCTGGGTAGATTATAGACCCCATGGGGTCTTACTTCCTGTGAGGATTGGTAATTTGAAATCTTTACGTAAAACCTATTACATAAAACCACTGCTTCTCCCTAGGCAGGGAGCTACCTTAACCAGGCATCCACAAACTCCCTGAAATTCTATACAAAACTTGTATATGTATTCTTCTGTGAAGAGAGCCAGAGATTCCATCAGATTCTCCCCTGTCCCAAGAAGATAGGCTCATGTAAATTCCATCAAATTCTTGACAGGCCTGTGACCCCTTTGATTCCTTAAGCATCAACTATGTTTTACTGAGCCAAATGGGACTAAAGGGCTTCCTTCAGCAGATGTATAGTATATAGATCGATAGATAGATGATAGATTGATAGATAGATGATTGATAGACAGATCTATATATCTATATTTATAATACATCTACATCTATATCTATGTAAGCTGAAAGATTTTCCATATTTTATATATCCTGTAAAACGAAGTACAGGGGAGGAAGTGGTATTTTCAGGCAATCATATAGGTCTTTTGATGGCTAAAGATCCCTTTCACACTCAGACTAGATTTCATGCATAAGGTCCCTGATACTTATTTTGCCCTTCATATCCTTAGTTGCTGCCACTACTACTCTATTGATTGAGATCTATTCTTCTCCCCAAAGCTGGCAATAGAGTGGACTACAGTATCCAGCTTCCCCTCTTGCTGGATGTAAAGATAAGCCTTTGGGTCATTTTGGTTTAATTTAGAGATTCACTAGTAATCTTTGTAGAAAACAAAAATAATAGACATTGAGCAATTATATAGTTCTTTTTTTTTTTTTTTTTTTTTTTTTTAACGGAGTTTTTCTTTTGTTACCCAGGCTGGAGTGCAATGGCGTGAT